TTTGAGGCTGTATATTTCACTTCCTAATTATTAAACGACAAAACACAAAAATGCTTGTTTACAACTCGCCAATCGAAGGACAAACCTGTTACCTATGAAATCAGTTTTATTCATGACGGCTTTCACGTACCGCTTTCTTGGATCCTTCTGTATCTCCTCTCTTTCTGCTTGAAACATCTTCTTTCCTGAAGGGGGAAATTGATGAATATATTTATAGACTTTTGTATATCTAAACATTTGGTTATTTTGTTAAGCAGCAGCATGGCAGCAGTGGATTACCTACCTTGAGTCTAACTTCCTCTTCCTATTGAGAGCCATTTTTTTCTCCAGAACTTTTCTTTCTTTGCGAGCCTCTTTGGCTCGGGGGCCGTCCAGCCCGGCAGAGTCTCCGCCCTTTTGTTTTTTCTGATCTGTGTCGGAAACAGAACCGGGTAAATGACGTGACAGTTAAGAGTAAACGAGGCTATTTTGTCCCCACCCGAAATGGAAGAGACAAGAAAACAGTGGGTGACAAGAAACCCCGAAGCCCACAACTATGAAAGCAGTTGTGACAGCAGGCAGCTCACACACGACACACAGAACATACCTTGTTCTTCAGCCTGCGCTGCTTTCAGTTTACGCTTCTCTTCCATTCGTTCTCTGTTCTGCTGTCTCTTGAGCAGCCTTTCCTCTTTGTCCTTCGCCTATGAGACCACAGTTGTGGACCGAGACAGCAATGACCAAAGCCAGTAATTTAAAAAAAGGACCTTAAAACTCTGTGTTTTTCTGTGATCAACTCGTTTGCCAAGTAAAGCCTTTGATTTATCTATAAATAGAATTAAAGCTCTGCTAGCGCTGTACCTTTAATGTTAACATTGAAACAACTCACCGCACTTCTCCGACGTTCTTCCACAGTGATTTCATCATCCGAGTCGCTATAGTAGCGGGAGTAGAGGAAGGGCTTATGAACGTAAGCCTTGCGGCGAGGTTTACGCTCATCTTCTTCTGCGTCTCCACTGGCTTGTTTCTTTTCTGCTCCCTCATCTTGATCTGGTGGTAAAAAACACACAAAAAACACACACACACACACACACACACAGGAAAATGTTATAATCCAACGGAGCAGAGTTGAACTTGTAATTATCTGTGGTAATAGATAGAGACCATATTTCACATTTAATGGGCCAGTAAATTAGTCTCAGTCAGGAATAAAAAGTTGAGACCATCTGATTGAAGTTCCCCCTCTTCAGAAGAATCCGACTGCAGCTCGTCATCTTCACTTTGCTCCTCGAACGACGACAGGTCGCTGGTGTGGACAGAGCTCACTGTGATGTCACTCAGGCCGTCCAGGTCAGAGTCCTCCAAAAAGTATTCTGCAGAGCAAAGACACATCAGTATTTTAAATCTTTTTTTCACTACTTGGGGGAAAAAAACGCGAACATATCAAAGTGAGCATTGTGTTTTTTGTATATTCGTATGTCTTGAACATGTATTCTGTATTTGTTGCAATAACCCGGATTATTATTATTCAGGAAAAGATCAAAAACAGTGGATCAAATAAATATATAAATAAATATCATATTTCGATACAATCCATTGTAATGTTACTCAAGTGCAGTAGATTATGTATAGGGAGGATATAAAGAAACTACCTGGATGAGTTCAGAATCAATGGCGTTTTAGTTCTGTAAAATGTTTTCATTATCAATTCATCTGTCAGTTATTTTTAAAATGTAATCGTTGAATTGTTTCTCTAACAAATCTGAATATCCTAAAAATCACAATTTCCCAAAATGACTTCTTTAAAATTGCTTCAAACTCTCCAACGATTGATGAAAGACCCAAAAGATATTAAATTTACAAAGACATAAAGAAACACAGCAAATTCAACGATTAGTTTTCTGTAGAAATCATTTCTGCGTTATCTTTATATCCATGTCTACCATGTCATGTGTAGTTTTATTAAGAATATTCTTAAAGCACATACAGAGGGTGAGGGTACAACAGCTCACCTTCCTTTATCCTGTCTCTGGCTTTCTGCTTGGCCTGACTCGTAGATTTCAGCAGATCGTCATCATTTTTCTCTTCTGTGGGTTTTCCTGTTGTTTTGCTGGCAGCTCTGTCTCTCTCCTCCTCTGTCTGCTCCTGAGCTCCGGACTCATCTTCTTCCATCTTCACCTCCTCCATTAATCCCTCTTTTCCCAGATCCATGTGTTCCTGAACATCCTCTGTCTTCACTTCTAACGCCTGGACCTCTGCTGCCAGCTCCTCTGCCTCTTCGAGTGTCCTCCCATCATGGTGGCCGTCTCCTTCCTCATCGACACTCATGTCCTGCTCGCCGTCCTCCACCAGCTGCATGGGCTCATCTTGGCCCCTACGTCCTTTATCTGAGCTGGCCCTGACGCTGGCCTCCTGGTTGAGAGAGGTTATGGTGTCCAGGATGGACATGGCGTTGCTGGCAGACATGGTAGCTGGAGCAGACGACGAGGCTGTGAAAACATAATGTGAACAAGGTAAGCTTAAGCCAGACACTCATCATTCTGTTTGTCATGGCTGATGAAGGGATCAAAAGTGCACCTTGCTCAGGAATGCTGACGTCTGGTTTGGTCTCCGTTGAAGGCAGTGGCGGTGGTGGCTCCTCAGAGCAGCTACCAGGTGACAGAAATTCACGGACCACCCTCTCCACCTGCGGCCTGAAGAGATGGTTGATTTTGGGATCCACCACTTGGGCCACGATCCTGTCCACTCCCTGCTCCAGCATCCCAGATCTAAGAGGAACAGTCTGATTTAACTTTGGGTTCCTTCTACGTAAAATTACTTCTAAAACATCACAACAAAAAAGACAGCTATTCTTGAAAAAGTATAAAAGGTGGAAAGGAGATATTGCTCCATTGTCACTTACTGCAGCACGAGTTGCCTGATGTTGTTTCTCAGCTGGTTCTTGTTCAGATGAGGGCTCCATGTGTGGTTAGAGAGGTGATTAGAGACAAAGTTGTCCACTCTTTGTTTCAGGTTCAAGTAAGCTGGCTGCAAGAAAAAGAACAAAACAAAACAAGAATTAGTAAATATCACGTCAGTATAAACTCATCTTCTGAAGTAGTTACTGGTTTAAGTAAGTTCATTTAATTGTTGGATGAAAGTAGTTAGTTTAGCATCTGTTTTGTTATAACAGCAAACCTGAGTCAGCTGCCAAATTACAAACTTTTAAATACAAAAAGCAACCAAACTCAGATTGTCCTTTTCAATCCTTTGCCTTTTGTTTGTGTCAAAATTAGATCAGTCTGACGTAAACTCCTCAATAACAGAAACCCAGTAATCCTACATCACTATGTTGGATTAATGCTCTTTGTGAATTATCTTTTATCAAACTAAAGGAATTTGTTCATGTATCACCCTTATAAAGCATGGATATTTCCTTATTTGGTGTAATAACAACATGTAATGCTATTAAGTACAGTACAGTACAGGCCCAGTTTACAATAATCTCTTACAAGTTGTGTTTTAATAAAAAGTGAAAGAAAGAAATTGTTTGACTTTGCAATTATTATATTGTCCCAAACCAATAACTCAGTCATGCCAACCCCCACACAAAGGTCCCTAAAAGTGATTAACTGTCAAATGTGATGGATTAACATCTTACCAAGTCATAAATGAATGAAAATCATTGGCTGGCTCAAAAGATAATGCTGAATCTCAGAGAATGTATCCTGGACGGCAGTTAGTACTCAAAGATGAAACGTTATAACCGTTTTCAACCATTACCTTTGTGTCAACGTCTGCAAGGCAGTCCCTCCTGAACTGGTCGAAGAGACCCTGTGTTTTTAAATGATTGACGATCATTGAGACGAGCTGAGGGTCTCCGGGTGGTAAACCAGCCATGTCTGAATGTAGCTGAGGGTTTAGCTTGGACTCGGTTAATTTAAAATAGATCAATACTGACAACACATCAGGTAATATCCGACTTCAACGCACCAGGCTTCTGTTGTGGTTTTGGGAAGTTCAAAGCAAGTTTGACCCGGAAGAGAAAAAAAACGGTTACACTAAACCGGAAGCTCTTTGAACGCGAGGGCTTTAGTTACCAAAATAAAAGTTTAGAAACACTATATTATACATCTGCTTAACAACCGTTTATGTACGGTTGGGCTGGGCACGATATTGGTTATAACTGTGTACAGTTTACGCTGTCACAGAAACATGCCGAATGCAAGAAAAATGTATATTTTGTATAAATAACCGGCCCAAACAATTATAAAGTGAAGACGTTGAAAGCCAAAGCAAATTATTTCGAATCGCTAACGCTACAACTAGGAACGACAGCTACACAGGAATACTAATGAACGTTAGCTGCCACTTTATCTGTTGACCGTTGATTCAACATAGTGGTGCTTCGGGTAACGTTGTATTTGGCGAACTCTAGCGGCTTGAACGCCGCAAGAAATATCCACACTTCATTGACACAACCATACATTATACCGCTAGTAGGGTATTTATACTCGGTTACAGTTGTATGCTCTCAGTTATTGTATCTTGTGTGCTTTTCTGGTCAGAAAAGCATCGGCAACATGCCTTCAATGGGAAAGAAACGGCCGATATTTGACAAAGGAGAGCGTAAAAGCAATGGCAGCGGTGGGATTTGAACCCACGCCTCCGAGGAGACTGGAGCCTTAATCCAGCGCCTTAGACCGCTCGGCCACGCTACCGTGTGCGGCACTGACCATCAGATAGGTTTAAGAACATTTACCTCCATGAAAGAGACATTCAGAAGTCTTGCTTCTTTGGCGTAAATACAGAATATTATAAACTACGCCTCCAATGTGTTTTGAGTCAGTGACTCTCCAAAACAGTTTTAATAACTAAATTTAGATTTAATGAAAGGCAAGGCTTATTGCAGCGCAGACTTGTAGGGTACTGCAGTGGTTTTAGCTAGATGAATCTTAAACTGGCATTGACTGCATTTCATAGCAGTTATTGCAGACGTGTCCTGATCTTATGTACTGTTGGGTTTGGAAGGTGACCACAAATTATTTTATAACATTTATTAGAAATTTAAAGGATAGCTTAAGGAATAAAAAATAAAATAAATGCTTTCCATCCCAACCCTCAACATCTCATCTTAAACTATTTGAGAACACAGGCAGCTATAAATCAGTCCAACAGTAGCACTTGTGTGTCAACACCATCAGATACAGAAATCCAAAATAGAGCCGTGTCCATTTCAAAAAGTGTCAGAGAAGAAATGGCAATAAAAACAATAAACACCTTTAGGCAACATACTAGACAGATAATGATGTCACACTGGACAATATAAAAAAAATATATAAAAAAAAAAGTGGGCATGTATTTATACCCATCATAAAGTGTGCCAGAATAATGGCAGTTTGAAGCCCATGGCAGTGAAACCGAAACATGCTGGCCCAGAGTCTCTTGTGAAGTACAGATAAAACACCCCTCAGTGGGAGGTACGCAGGCAGGAGCTCAGGAGTTCTTGGCGGGGCAGATGGGCGGTAGGACTCGGCGGGAGTTGGTGCGCACCCATTGGTGATCAATGACCCCCTGTAGTGAAAGACGAGCGATGGGGCTGTAGCGTAGCAGCTTGGTGATCAAGTCCCGTGCACCATCTGAGATATTTTTAGAGAACTTCAAATCCACCTGCAAGCAGTAAGATAGTATTTATTAATGAAATGTGAACAATGACTGGTGCAGGAGAAACTATGACAATTCAGATTGAAGACAGTCAGAAAAATATTTAATGCTAGCTGTTGCAGAGATGTAAGGCACAATGTGGTTGTGCTTCTACTCATTAGGGATACACAACCTTGAAGTCATCTTAAAATGTTTTAATCCTTTGGAATGACTGATCGTGGTATATTTTTAAACAGTTATTGCCTAATGTCTGGTACATAACAATCAGCACATGGTCTGCAATGCTATTCACATATTGAAACCTGGGTCTTATTTTTGTAGTTTTGGCCTTTACTAACATTATGATGGCATTGCTACAACATCTGTGCATTCAGACAATCTGCCAGAAGTTTCCCCCCAAAATTCTCTTTTGGAAAAGCTAACATAACTTAATGGCATTTGTCCAATTGGGTAGATTGTGCCGCATTTCCACTGCACGGTACGGCTATACTCCAGTACCTGATACTGGAAGGTAGAGTTAAAACACTGCAGACCACAGACTGGTCAGAGAGAAAAGGTATTTGCACAACGAAGGACATCGTGCACAAACATGCCACTTTTTAAAAAGCCAAGCTTCCATCAATAATGCCCAAAATCTTCTTTATTCACTCACCAAGGTTTTAGCCGAACAATTTAGTGGAATTGAGGCATTACACGTCCAACACTAACCTTCGTAATTCTCTTGTACGTTTCTGTATGGCTGGCAGTTTCAAAAGGTGGGTTGCCGACCAAGCACTCGTAGCAGAGAACCCCAATGCACCACAGGTCCACCTTCTCACTGTGGGTGTGGCCCTCAATCATCTCTGGAGGGAGGTAGTCCAGCGTCCCGCACATTGTACGACGTCTGGATGGGTTTAGAACAAAGAGATGAGCAGGGCAAGCAGAGAGGCAGCAACAAGTATATTCATGTGACATGATACAGCAGTTTCAGACAGAACACAGTGGTGCGTTGACATTATAGAGCCTTAATGTCACTTCAGTTCTTCACCTTAGAGATGGTGCATGGACAGACCAACCAAAATCTGCAATTTTCAGCTCTCCACGATAGCCGAGAAGCAGGTTCTCTGGCTTGATGTCCCGATGAATCACTTTCTTCTCATGGCAATACATCAGTGCATCAGATATCTCCTCCATGTACTGGAAATACAAAGAAAGGTCATCAATGGATCACAACAAGACTTTACATTTTACAAAGTGTTCAATATAATTAAAAACAAGATTGTATATATATATATAATCAATTCCAGGCGTCAAACTGCTGCTGAGGAATTGCTGATTACCATTATAACTAACAAACTAGGTTAATTTACTAAAACAACAATAATAGCACAAATAAAAAGTTATCTTTTGAAAGCAGAAGGAGGTCTTACTGTCGCAGTACGCTGGTCGTCAAATCTTCCACATCTCTGCAGCTCCTTGTACAATTCACCGCGTGGGGCATACTCAAGCACCAAGTAGACCCTCTTACGGTCATGGAAATAATTGTAGAAGCGCAGAATGTTGGGGTGTCTGAGGAGAAATTTAAAGTCAGCATGTTCTTAAACGAAATGCAAAAATGCAGAGAATGTTTGTGGAAAATGCAGCACCTAGTTAGTCTGTGGGGAAATGTACTACTGTTTTCATGTAGCTCAAAGCACATCTAACCTACAAATAATTCTTGAAAGCCGATAAATATTCCCGTTAGTAGATGTTGGCAAATAGCCTAAAACAAAGACACACTGAGAAGTTGTACTCTGGGACATTTGCCAAGAATCAAAGCCTATTATGTACTCCTTACTCCACGGTTAGTTTGAGGAAGGTCTTTTTATTGTTAAAAATATGAAAATGTTTTCAGGATACTCACTTGAGATGTGCCTGAATCTCAATCTCCCTCCTGAGTTGGTGCTCTACGCCCTCCTTCTCCATCTGAGACTTGAACAACACTTTCAGTGCCACAATGGCCTGCAGCTTCTTCACCCTGGCAAGGTAGACATTACCAAATTTGCCCTTCCCTAGTGGCCGACCGATGTCAAAGTCATCGATGGAGATTCTCCTGATGGAGTACAAAGATCGATATTCTCATGTTAATCATTTAAATGTATGAAAGTAAAGCTGCACCAAACTGTTGGAAGCTTCGTAACATTGACACTCAAATTCTAAAAATCAACATTTGAATGCTGCCAAACTTTTTTTTCATGTCTAATAATTGTGTTTAAACACTGCATTTCTGCACAGTTCCAGATAAGGCTAAACTAATATTAATAGTATTATACTTTTTGCAGATTCCAGTGGTGGCTGCGTAGGATTGTTTTAAACTCCTTTTCCCAAATATTTTAAGTAACTCTTGAGCAATTTTAAGTCCAAAAGTCAAAATAGATTGAAAAATATAGATCTAAAATTCACATGTCATTATCTGACAAAATATTCACATATTAACCAGCAGCCTAGTAGCGCCATGAATTACATCTATATAACCACAATATCTAAATCTATTCCCCCTTTTTTAAGACATTAAATATGAAGACAGACATTTGACGCTGCATTCGATAACCAACAGAAGCTTTGAATGTAGAAAAATGATATTCGGTTCATCCCTGTATGAAAGCATAACAAGAAACAGAACTGGCAATCAATACACAACTCGAGGAGAATAAGAGGGAATATACTTACTTCACAGCTGCACTGGAGGATGAGCCAACACACTCCCTCCCAGGGCCTGAAAATGATAACACAATGAAAACAGGCACATTTCTTGAAGTGTCTGACTGCCGTCTGTATGCGAGGAGATTAATATTACCTGTGACGGCATTTTTGTCCATCTCCATCCGTGGCTTCACCTGAACACGCTGTGGGCCTGCCACCATGCTTGGGGTTGCAAACTGGTATTCAGAAGCAAACAGATTTAGAAATGCATTATTTATTTTAATCAGCCAATAATAGTGACCAATTTAGTTTGATAGCAATGCTGGCATTCTAATTTGTCAGTGGTAGAACAATTGCTGGTAATCAAATGTTGCTTTAACACAGCTGGCAAATCCACATCTTTTTACAATTAATACATCTTACAGGTCGCTGGAAACCCCTGGGCTCATCATTTTCCTTATTCTGTAAAGAAAAACATACAAAGAACATTAACTTACAATACATTTTAGCTTTTGTATCTTTTCTTGAAGGTCAGACTTATTTTTAGCTTAGAGTAGTTTTGTTTTTTTAAACAATGCTTAAAGAATTAATCCTGAAAAGACTCCAAAAGGGGCAAAGTTTCTGTTTTTTGAGTCAGTGGTGTTAAGGCTCAACTGGTTTCCTTGTGACTTTCACCTCAATGTGTACGTAATTAGTTGCTTGGAACAACAGCTTGGTGTTTACAAGAGAAGCCATTTTGAGTTTATTTGTGGTGTCACTAATTTCTTCCCTGATATTTTGCCTACCTTGGACAAAATAGTAAGCATCGTTCACCATCCACAACAATACCACTAAAGTATTGTAACGTTAAAGCTTCCAAAGACTGACGCCAAAGGATTGTCATATTATCAGTTACAGTATTATATAAGCTACGTTTAGCTTACAACGTTAACGTCACTTTTAAAGTTAGCTTCAGTAACGTCAGGCCACTGTTTCAGTAAGTTACCGTTGGAACCATTGCCTCATGTCGGGTGTAATGCACGGGCGACCTACTATTCCACGGGTTAATCCAGTTTAAATAATACCATGCAATGCATATAATGTGTTTATACGTACGTTATATACAGTTAGTTTAACGTGGCATCATGCTAGGTTAGCTTAGAAAGATAGCAAACCTAATGCTAACGTTAGCTAGTTTAGTTAGCTCAAATCTGTGTTCTATTTAAGCAATATAATCTGCGGTTACACGAATCGTCCGTTAACTTCATCTGTTACTCAGTGTTATATCTCTATCAAACATTTAAAAAAAAAAAAAAAAAACGTTACCTGCATTGTAGTGAGGAATTGTCGTACACCGTTTTAGTAGGGAAAGCCCAGCGTTACTATTTTGAATTTCCTCGGCCGCCAACGTTTTCAAAAAGCTAACCTTCTTAAACCTGATTGGTGGGTGTTCCGACAAACAAAAGGCTCCCATTGGCCAGAGTTGTTGAAAGAGAACGCGTGTGATTGGTTTACACCTCGTTAGTCAGACGTAGTCCCGCCCTCATTTCCTACACTTCCTCACTAATGGCTACTGTCACCTTGCCTTTGCTTTCTTTATCAGCCTGGACAAATTAACTTAATCATATCGCCATTTACAAATGGCAAATATGTTTATGTATCTGATTCCATCAACTATCTTAAAAACCTTAGAGCCAGACCAGTCTCGCCCAATTATGAACTCTGGTTACTGTGCAGTTTCTTAAAAAAAAAAGTGATGTTAAAATTAGTGACATGTAGAGCAGTCATGATGTTTATGAAATATCACTCTTAAATAATTTCTCAGAGGTCAAGGTGACATCATCAAATTGTTTGTTTTGTCCAATAAACAGTCCAAAATCCAAAGATATTATATTTACAATGATATAAAATAAAGAGATGAAGAAAAGCAGAAAACACACACCTTACAGAAGCTGGAACAAACAATGTATGGAGCAATGGCTGACCCAATTAATTCACTATCCAAATTGCCTGCCTATCAACTATTTCATAAATTAACTAATAGTTTTAGCACTGACTACATCCTTTTGTGGAAGTGTGGACAAGATAAACAAAAATAAGCTTCAGGAGAGCTTAACATTGTTAAACATATATTTCCTGTAGCAGCACATGCTCTTATTTTGTATTTAATGAGTTAAGTTGGTATCTACAGGCTTGTTGATTAATCCGTGGATTTCATGAGAAGTGGGTCTAGTTTTGTGTAGAATTATGCAATTGACTGATAGAATAAAAACAACAAAGAAGACAAATTATACTTCAAGATGCATTTGTTAAAAATAGGTTTATTTAAAACTCATTTTCATTTATAATTATTAAGAAGGTTAAAATTATAATGGTTGGTTTGCTGCAATACAATTCACGTCAATGACACAGATACTCCATGTAATTAATACAATAAACAGACATTTACAACTACAATGAAAGAAAATAAGACAGAATAATAATTTCAATATGTTGTGCTGCTTTTCTGTCACACCAAAGTCAAACACCTGCTTGTGACATATATATATATTTTCTGAATGTATACATAGCTGAAAAGGAGTGAAGGAACAGGAAACAGGTGGATCATTGCCAGCAGCATGCTTCAGTTATCTGCCTTTGTATCTGACACCTGCTTGTGGCTTTACAGTCTAGCTATGACAGCTTCATATTTTGTGTATTTTTATTGTGACTGAGTTTGAAAGAGTATGTTAAAAAACTTCGTCTGTTTTTGTCTGCGTATGAGCAACAAATTTGGAAGCGAGACTGCCTTCAGAGATTTTTCCAAACCGTTTGTAACGTGGTCGCTCTAACTTTAACAAGTATCTCTGAGGAAATGTTGCAAATCCAAGAGCAAGATTGCTTTGTAGCAAGATGATTCATCCTCAATGTGATGAAGAAGCTTAATTTGGTGTTATGGAATTTTTTATTTGCTAAATTATTTCATCCATAAAGAGTAAAAATGTACTATATCACAAAATATAGTACAATTAAAAGTAAGCTTTTATTCAAGTTTGACAGTATATGGTTTGAAAATATCCTGTCAAAACCCAAATTAAGGAAATATATTTAAAAAGTATGGCCCTGAATCATATGCAACATTTTGATTATTTAAAAGCCAAACATCTTGAAGAGCACAGTTTAAAACTGATTTTCCTGCTCTGGCTGTTGAGGTTGGCAGATTAAAGAATATTTAGAGAAAAAAAAGTCATTAGTTTACACTCTGATTTCTCCAGTATTATACAGTTTGTGATTTTTTTGAAGGACTGAATATCTGATTCACATCCGGAACTGGCTCCGATGATTTTCTGATATCTTGGGCTGGACTTGGGCTGGGCATAGTTAACTTACATAGTCATTAATTTTCTCCATAACACAAAATAAAATGACATATGGCTGAGTAAAAGGGAATTGTATCTTTATTGGCCAGTAGTAGAGACCTCATTTAGTCTGCACTGATCTGAACAGAGCAGTTGGTGAAAACTAGTGTGCAGGATGGCAGCAGGTCAGCCAGTGAGCGACGCAAACTTGGAATAGGATCGTTCATGTCTACTGTGTTGTTTTCATCATTGCTGTTATCTACACCTGCAGCTTCCTCTTTGTCCTGCTCTTCTCCACTTCCACCACCCTCACCCTCCACGGCTGGTGGACTCTGCTTAGGCTGGAAGGCCACATCCAAAAACTCCAGCCGGCTGAGTCCGCGGAGCAACCTGCAGCTCCGCACTATCTGCATCTCGCTGAGCGTGCAGGCCCACAGGCACAGACACTTCAGGTTCTTCAAGCGGCTGGCACAGAGCAAGCCTGGGCCCACCTCTTTGCCCCCCAGACTCAGTTCCTCCAGTCCGAGCCATCCTGCACCCAGCCCAAGGGAGGCCATCTGTAACTGGTAACCTTGCCGCCCAGTGATGCCTATTTCCAGAAACTTGAGCCTGGAAAGGCCTTCCACCCCATAGACGCCATCCTTGGCAGCACATTTCCTGATCCCGTTGGCAGTCACACGGAAGGTGTCACGCAGCTCCAATCGGCTGAGCCTCTCCCATGATGTCAGACTCTTCAGATGCTGGTCCGTGAAAGAGGGCACATTGTTAAGGACTAACCTCCCTATACCAATCCCTGATGGAGAACCAAGCCCTTTCCGATGCCTTCCTTGCTGTTGAGCACCAACACTGGATGTGGCTTCTGCTCTTTCTTGGTCAGGTGAAGGGGAAGTCTGGTTGAAAAATTCACGGGGCAGCTCACAACCACGCAGCTCAAGCACCTGCAAAGATGTAGGTAGGAGCTGGCAACCTTGAAGGCTTCGCAGGTCTGCGTGCAGAAGATAGAGCTTACTCAGGCGAGGGCACTTTGTGGACACAGCTCTGAGCCAAGACTCGGAAAGAAAGGTGCCCCCTCTGGCAGAAAGCAGCAAACCACGTAACCGTAGGCACCTCAGTCCACAACCCAGGTAATGACGCAGCAGGAGCCAAAGTATGCGGGATGTCACCTAACAAACAATGGACAGTCATGCATTTGTTGAGGGTGGGGAATGGGAGGCCAAAGAGAGACAGTCAATAATTGTAAAGACATACAGAACCCACATGTAATAGCATTTACTTCATAATGGCAAGACATGTGTATTTGTAGAGCACATTTCCTACACAAAGGCTGTTTAAGTGCTTCAAATAATGCATTAAAAACAACGAAAAGGACTTACTAGCATTGTGATGCAAATTAAAAGTCATTGCTAGGGGGTTAAGTGTTAATGGCAGGCAACATATGATTTTCATTTTTCTGAAATTGCATGTGTTGTAGCGGATTACATGAGGTGGCTATGTTCCCCAAATAAAATAAACACTAGACTGTATGGAACGATACGTCAAAAGAAAAAGAGTGAAGCTAAATCGCCAGTAACATTCTTACCCCTTTCCATGCAGTCAGATCGACAAACCTCCACAGCCGTTGGTCTTTCACAAGCCGGTTCCATCTCTTACATACTCTAAATGATACCGCAAAACACAACAAATAACTTCCTCATGTGACGTGAGTCACGGAAAAAGAAAGACAAAACTGGCACTGGGTATTATTTCACAAAACGAATAACTGGTCAAATACTGTCGGTTAAGTTAAATTCCCCCTTACCTTCCAGCTCTAACGAGCTCTCGTACGCTCAAATACGACAACACGTCAATTAAAATGTTTTCTGGAAAGTAGTCTAGGTTACAGGCTTTAAATTCATCCATTTTGTAAACAAAACTATTTCAACCACGGACACGGACCGATATCGCGACGCACACGGGTTGCGCCTTCATCGGTAGTCCCCCGGAAACCGCTGCCTACTGACTGTCGGACCTAGCGGCTGTTTGCGGTTTTAAAAAAAAAACACCGATGAAGCTATATTGCCACCTAACGTTCATTAGGCGAACAGTTCACTGCGCCTGCGCGGTTTACCGGAGAAGATGGCGACCAGCAATGGTGGAGGAATGGAAGTGGATGGGGCAGGCTAGTATTTCTCACTTATCTCACAATTTCTGCCTGATATTAACACGAACCTGTATGCAGACTGTCGCATGTGTCGTACATGTGTGCTATGGATGGGTGTGAGTAATGAATCAGTGGTGGTAAAGGTGGCAAGGTAGCGAGCTTGCTGACTAGCGGGTTCACGTAACGTGCACGGCTCTGCTTATAAAGCTGTCAACAAATTCATCACTTTGGATATTTGAGTCGGTATTTTTATACGTATATTATTGCTTTCCGACTGGTGTTGGCATCAATAATCTTGACTTAAGTCTGTCAGCTCAGGCAGGTTTAAGGAAAACATTGATTAGTTTTGACAACAATCCGATCTTGAATTAGGGCTGGTCTTGGACGTCAGCTGGCCATGTGATCTCTTTCGTTCAATAATTGTATTTTCACACATTTAGATTCATTAAGCCAAAGAAGTGTGTACATACGGTATATTGTTGTGTCAATGCTCCTTTCAATTTATATGAAAGAATCACTTTCATTTACATCCACAGATCAAAATGGAACAGTATGAGCAAATTGTGAAAATACATAAACGATAAAAATGGATGTTTATACTAAATTAAAGAGACCTGCAATAATATAACTAACAATAGAGACATGACTCAGATGTCTCTATCTAAGGCATTGATTTCCATCTTCATCTCCCTCCCTAGTCTTCCTTATCTTCCTCAACCTCTACTGTTGCCTACCCTACTCTCACTCATTAACTTATTGAATTAAATGAAACAGTGTACTAAGTGAAAGGTTGGTGGTTTGATCCCTTGCGGGGCACTGGTCCCCTCTGCCAGCACGTTGTTGCCATTGACACACATTAAAGGCAGTTAAAGAAACAATATACAACACATCTGCCCACGCTGTGTTGACACGGAGTCGGTTGTAAATCATCAAAGTATCCCTACAAGTAGTCGTGATAAATTAGTTACGGTTCCGTAACCTTAGCCAACAATACGTCTTAAAATCCTTCTGGGCTCTAAGGTGCCTCCATCTTTTACATGCATCTCTAATATTTACGTTTTACCACGTCTCTGGTCAAGTAGCTTTTTAGGAAGATGCTGAGGCTTTATAGGTCGGACAGAATCCAACGGTGTCTCAGTTGATCCAGGTCGTTTTGATGGCTTCCATGGCTGCAAAACGTGTGCAAATGTGTTTCATATCTGGCAACATGGGGCGTCAAAATAGGCTTGTATTGTATGTCGTAAAATATTTCACAGAAAATTACATTTATAAGTCAGAGTATAGTACGTCATGAAAATGTCATAGTATAGTATTTACCGTTTGACTTTTATAATACTAAAAGAATGTCTGTTTCCAGAATTTTCTCCATTTCTTCTTTGATGTTTTTCCAAAATGTTAATATTTGTATTTTGATTTTGTTGCATAACATAAACTTTCCAAACATAAGATGGAAAAACCCACATCACTGAATCCCTACTTGTCATATTGGGAAGTTTTGCAGCAATTATCTTCATTTATTTTAGTTATATTTATTATTGATAAATAATTATGAATTGATTGTTTCCTACTTAACTCATCAATCCTCTATATCCTGTCAGGATAGTGTAAAATGTACTTTTTAAGTCTCCAGGATTCAGGTTGACGTCCTCAAATTGCTTGTTTTGTTCCATCAATAACTCAATAGTTGCTGGAGTGTTGAAGCCTTCTATTTTGTGTCTCTGTGTGACTGTAGCCAGCCCCAGTGTTATGGCTGCAGGGGTCACCGGAAGCGTTTCTGTGGCCTTACACCCTCTGGTTATCCTCAACATATCCGACCACTGGATACGCATCCGCTCACAAGAGGGACGACCAATGCAGGGTACGTATTGAGGAAAAAATGGCACGTAAGCTGTGATGTAATGTATAGTTGGTCTAATGTTCAGCTGAGTCATTCTGTAACTGAGTATAATGAAACAGGTTATTATATATTATTGTGTTTCTTTCTCCTGCTCAGTGATTGGCGCCCTGATCGGGAAGCAGGAGGGAAGAAACATCGAGGTGATGAACTCCTTTGAGTTGCTGTCTCAGACCGTAGATGAACGAGTGCATATTGACAAAGAGTACTACTACACCAAGGAGGAACAATGTAAGTGGTTTGTATTTGTTAAGGGCAAGAATACAGCTCTATTCTATCTAATAGGTTTGTCCTTTTATGACTCCTTTATGAAACGCAGTGCAGCCATTCCTTAATGCATACGTGTTTTGTTTCTCCTTTGACAAGTTCATTGTTTCCTGTAACAGTCTGGAGGTGACTTGCTGAAATTAATAAAATCTGTGGTGCAAATTGTCTAAGTTAGGATTTGGTTATGAACCCGTACTCGCCCCCCCAAATCCTTTTAAAGAAACGTCAGTGACAGATTGCATCACAGAGGAAACATGAGATTCAGTTATTGATAACGGGTTATTCATTAGTCAACGGTGGTTAATACTCAAAGTAACGTGCTTGCTGTAGTTTTTTCCTTAATATTCCCTTTTGCCTCTCAGTTAAACAGGTCTTTAAAGAGATGGAGTTCTTGGGCTGGTACACCACAGGCGGCCCCCCTGACACATCAGACATCCACATTCACAAGCAGGTAGGGCAAAAGTTCAAGGGGCAATACGAACAGTAAATCTGAATGAACGAACATCTTTACCTTCTCACAGATCCTCACTCACTGAGTCAGTGGCAACCGCACACCGCTAGTGTACATCAAGGTTGTCCTACATTCACCTCGATTGGTCAGATACCTGAGCTACACGTTTTACTTTGAAAGCAAATATCAAACAAAAAGCTGTCGAGATTCTGACATTTTGTGTTATTGATTCATGTTAAACCAATACAGACATTGTGTTTACACAATGTCAAGTTACAAAAACAACATGCAATGCCATGATTATTTAACAAGCAGGTGATTTTGACTTTGTTGTTCTTATTGAAAGTAAAATCATCTTAAAGCCTGATAGTTGTTTCCTACTTACTTTCCTTCTTCTCTGCCAGGTGTGTGAAATCATTGAGAGTCCTCTCTTCCTCAAGCTCAATCCATTGACCAAGCACACAGATGTGAGTTCTTGCATTTTCACTTCAAAAATGAGAAAACACCACACTGCTGTATTTAGACACGGCTGCTTTAATTAATGTGTCCTTTTTTCCTCCAGCTTCCCGTTAGTGTTTATGAATCTGTGATTGACATCATCAACGGCGAGGTAATCTTTACATTTCATGTCATCATTTACAAATCCTGTCCTGCAGCAGTGAGACAGATTCCCATGAAGAATTGTCAATGTTTTATTTTGAACGTGTTTTGGGGTTTTTCTAGGCCACCATGTTGTTTGCTGAGCTGACGTACACTCTGGCCACAGAAGAAGCGGAGAGAATCGGTGTTGACCACGTAGCTCGGATGACGGCCACTGGCACAGGAGAAAACTCAACAGGTAAGAGTTAATGTTCTGTGAGTCACATCAGCTATAAATCTGCACTAATGTATTGTTTTTTACGGTTGATTTTATAAACATTGTTTATTTAACTCATAAAAGGTGTTCTCTCAGCTCGTATCTCAGATTATGATGAATCCAAATGAAATGGCTATTACAGCTAGGACTATCTTAAATACTGGTGGAGTGTTTTACAGTTAGGATTACTTCCATTTCAGCAGCAATGTTATGACTATTATGTTTGTGAACAGAATATGAAGAGACTGTTCAAAACTATAGATTAAAAAGACAGAAGATTCGTCTGTAATGGACTGTGTTGTTTTTCAAGATGTACTTTCTAACATAATCCCTCGTTCACAAAGGACTCATTTCTGCTGGTATTTAGGATTCAATTGTTAATTGATTTCTCTCTGTTGTGTGTTTTATCTGTGGTTATATGATCTTATATTTCTGCCACATACTGGTATCGGCTCTTTATTTTATTAAGGTATTAGGCAGGCCTAAGTAAAATACACAGAGTTAATACTGACCAGAGAAAAAATATCAAACTCTGATGTTAATGTGTGACAAGTAAAGATAATTCACAATTGAATCATTCTGTAACAGATCACAGGCTCTGTTATTCCTTGCATGTTATTCATTAGAATTACCGATGTTTGGGATTCTTTGCCGCATATTGAGACGTCTCGTATAAAATCAATTCGGTAAAACTAGCTTCCCCCTCTTAGTCGATTAGTCGACTATTTGGTCGTTTTGATCACGTTTTTTATGCTGACTGACTTATTTCCAAGAAACATCTTTGGTGAACACAAGATTTAAAGTTGTGCTTTTGTGTGATTCTTTGTGGAGAATCTCAGTTTTACTGATCTGCCGATTTAAATGAACTAAGCGATGAGTCGACTAAGAATGTCTCTGGTCTAGGACAGCCCTAAATACAACAGTGGATAATACACACATAGGTACAAACATCATGCATAAACACAAAAGAAACATTCCAATCTTAAACTCCACAAAATGTCCTTTATTTATTCTTAAAGAAGATGGTTAAGGTGCAAACTGACTATAAACTGACCAATATTCACTTTTTCTTCGTCTTCTCTGTTAGTTGCCGAACACCTCATAGCCCAGCACAGTGCGATAAAGATGCTCCACAGCCGGGTGAGGATCATTCTAGAGTACGTCAAAGCCGTGGAATCAGGTGAGAGGACAACAGGGTCTTTTAATGGAGGCTTTGAGAGCAAAATATGTGAAAAATAAGTCAGGAAAACAGCTGTTCTTAGATGAGATGTTTACTTTCCTCACTTTTACCCTTGAGCACACCTCTATAATTACAAACCGCTGTCTTGACAGCATCGTCTTACCTCACTGTTTAATAAGCACTGCTTTACCTTATTTTTTTCTGTCCTGCAGGAGAGGTGCCATTTAACCACGAGATCCTTCGAGAAGCCAACGCCCTGTGCCACAGATTGCCGGTCCTCAGTACCATAAAATTCAAAACTGACTTCTATGATGTAAGCAAGCTTTCTGTACCTTAACGCACAACAGGTTTTTACACCCTCATGCACGTTGATGTTTTCATCTAAATGTCAAAGGATAAGGTCGGCATTCTCATCAACATATCAACAGAAAAGGCTAAAACAAACAAACAGTTCGTCCATCTCTTAAAACTTTGACTTACCCAGTCTGTTTGTGGCTCTTAACCCAAAGCACATTGATTCCTACTGACCACAAATATATAGTTTTCTTAAGACTATGATTATTATTTTTTAAATATACTAATATTGTACAAAACCGGAATAATACGGAGATATCAGAGATATCAGGGATGAGTACAGTGATGGGTTTACGGTAAATGATAAAGATGGTCCGTGTCTGTTTTAGTGGATCCTAGTATTATATGAATAGTAGCACATAACTGAGATATGCATTTTTATTTTATGAAACAGCAGAGCACTGTATTTAACAAACTGCACTCAGACTGGAGTAAATATTGCATTTGTTGGGGACTATTTTCAGCTGCGGATTAATACATTGTTTTTGTGCTGGTGAGTAATTTCACCACCAGGGGTCTACTTTTATAACCGTTGCAAAAAAAACGGTGCCTGATGGAGAACGACCCCACTTTCCACTCAAAAGTTGTGATGTAAAAAAACATCAACAACTTGACTGGAGAATGTGTGCACCTGTCCAGAAACTCTCACCTATGCGTAAGCACATTATGGACTGAGATGCTGATTTAGAAATTCAATTTGAAAGGCCTCTTGAGGTGCCTGTACTCGTGCGCGAAAGGGTTAAAATGATAATAATCGGTTGTTTTAGGAATCCAGGATAACATCAAATAGCATTAAAGAATTGCAAAACCAAGCAGCAGCAGTTTTCAATACTAACTTCAAATACTGTGCATATATCACCAAATTTTGTTTTCATATAGTTTTTGTGTGTAAAATTGCTGCTGTGAACATGACTGTGCTGTCATTGCACTCATCATTGATTTGCGATTTTTAAAAGGAAATTTCTTATTAGCAGGCGTTCGAGCAAATTTCTCTAAAGCTGTCTTTCTTCTCCCCTGCAGCAATGTAATGACGTGGGCCTCATGGCGTACTTAGGCACCATCACCAAGACCTGCAACAGCATGAACCAGTTCATCAACAAGTTCAACGTCCTGTACGACAGACAGGGAATCGGCCGAAGGATGAGAGGACTCTTCTTTTGAGCTGGCAGTAAGCCGAAGCAGAGAGACAAACAAGCACTGCAGTTTCTTTTTCTGTTTTTGTTTTTTTTTTGGATATGTTTGTATTTTTGGTTTGCTAAAACAAATTCTGCAGTAACTTTTCAAACAAGTTTACTATTTTCAACCACAAGTGTATCGAAAAGCACTTAATTACACAAATCTAAAATAGCTATATATACAAAATCGCTAAACTTTTTCTTGGCTACGCACAGAAACTAATCTACTATACATCATTATATTTTACCCCGTTTGTTTTATGTTGTATGTAATAAATGATCTGCTGATTTTTTTCATTGGACTTTGACTCTTCTTTCTAAGATTGTACAGTATGTCATAAAAAACTTATAAAATTGGAATAGTAAAGTATGTCATGGTGTAGTTTGCCATTCATTTGATAGAAAATTCAATTTGTGCCCTGAACAAATACATTTTGATGTATAGTATGCATCAAAATGCAAAAAGAAGTCACAGGATAGGATGTAAAAATGTCATAAAAAAAGCACAGTGCAATAAAGATGCTCTACAGCCGGGTGAAGATTATTCTGAAGTACGTGAAAGCCGTGGAATCAGGTGAGAGGACAAGGTATTTTAAATGAGGCTGTATTACAGCCTCATTTAAAATACCTTGTCGTCTGGCAAACTGCTGTTTCCACACTTGTATACTATTAGGAGAGGCCCCTCGAACTCAACTCCATAATTACAAGCCCCTGTTTGATACTGACTTGACAGCATTGACTTATCTTGATGTTTTCATATATTGAGCCATAACTTGTTTTTTCTGTTTCCATGTACCGCATGAGAGGTGCCATTTAACCACCAGATCCTTTAAAAAGTGTGTTCAACTGCTGAACTAGAGCTGCTTATACATGTCTTTAGCTCTTCTATATTGCATTGACTACTGTAACACTGTTCTCCTCACTTTTTCACTGTAATGGCAAAGATAGACACTTCTGCTTGGAAGTTTATTCAATTAGCTACATTAAAAGATTTATTATTAGATAATATTAGACCTGTTATGATCACAGTTTGTTTTAGCACAGTCTCACCGTGTTGTATTCCCTAACGAGTGCTTTTTTATAACGCTGCCTTTCTTTTCCCCCTGCAGCTATGTAACGACGTGGGCCTCATGGCCTACTTGGGCACCGTCACCAAGACCTGCAACAGTATGAACCAGTTCATCAACAAGTTTAAAATCCTGTTCAATGAACAGGGAATCAGCTGGAGGCTGAGAGGAAGTGTATCAAAGCACTTGATTACAAAAATCGCTTAACTCTTTCTTGCTTATGCACAGAAATGAATCCACTATGTGAATATACTATTTTACCCAGTTTATCGTATTGTTCATGTTTCTGTATGTAATAAGGGATCAGCTGATTGTTTTAATGGGACTGCTCTTCTTTTTAAGCTTGAAGGATTGTAGTAGGGTAGACATTGTAACTGTACACAACATGCAGCTAGTAAAAATGTCAGAGCTGCACTCTGAAATGAGTCTCTGTAAGTCAGCTCTGTGCAGCTGAAGGTTTATTGTCAGCAGTGTTTGCAGTTAGCTCGTCTTTTGAAGTCTTGTTCCCGCTGTTCGAATGCCTTCAGAGGTTTGAGCAGATGAGCATACTCAACAGGAAAAGGGGGCAGGGAGAGTTACAGCTCCAAAGTCGGGGGTCTAACAGGAGTCAGCATTTTAATGGGTATTAAACGTACAGCGGAACCAGACATAAAGACCCCCAGCATGCAAGTTGGCACTTTCACTTTACTAGCTTCTACCTGCCATGTGGCTCGAGGTGGAGCAAACATGTTCTTTCCTCTGTCTTCCTGCACCTTTAAAAAAAAAAAAGTATACACAGAAACAAAATACTACTCAATCACCGATGAAAAACTTTATTATCTCATTAATCAAAAATAATTTGCATTACTTGTGTCGACTGAAAACAGATTTTTTTTTTTTTACTTTCTGACAGTGATGATGGTAAACACATCAATACCTTAACAGTTGTCAATTGTATAAGGTTTAAACAAATATGCAACTTTTCAAAGCTTCAGTACAAGTTGTAGTACATTTGCAGATGTTAAAATCCCTCAAACTATGAAAATGTTCAACCTTGATGTTTTTAATTAAAATCTGTTAAAAAACCCTTTTCCTCCATCACTTGCTGGATGTCTTACTGACTGTGGCCTGACTCTGCAGGCTCATCTACAGCAACAGAGGGCTGTGGGTATTGGAAGCGGGATGGGTCGTACAGATCATCCATGGGGTTGTAGGGCATAGGGTAGTAGTAAGGGTAAAGGCCTTTCTTCTTGATGGGAGTAAGGGGAGCTGGCACCGCCACTGGTTCCTCTATCTTTTCCTCCTCCACAGGTGGGGGTGGTGGCGGCGGGGGGACCATGATCTTCCCCTTCATGGGCCTGGGTGGGTGTTCAACCAGGCAATCAGGGTCCCAGTAAGGGTCACAGTCGTACTCCATGCCCTTGAAGGGGCGGATGGGCGCCGGCAGAGACTTCTTGATGAGGACTGGTGGCGGTGGTGGTGGATGTGGGGCGGACTTCTTTGGTGGAGGGGGAGGAGGTTGGGGCACTATGGCTGGAGCTTGAGCTTTCTGGGGGGTGCAGGGGGGGTGGGGGCGGGGGTCGCAGAGCACAGGCACGGAGCCGGTAGGCAGGTAGACGATGTGGGGCTTACAGAGGGGGTCTTTCCTGTTGCACAGGTAGAGAACATCAGCCTGGGAAATGACTGGCGCAGGAGGGAGAGGAGGAGGGGTCGCTGGGGGCTCTGTGGGCTTTGGGCCCCCTTTCATTGGAGCTAGAGGAAAGATTTTACACTTCTTGTCTGTGGCTGGGTCACACATGGTCGGCATTCCCAGCTTGTTCTGGAAATAGGAAGCGTCGGGGCCGTAGGTGTGCTCCAGGTACCTCATCTGCTGGTAGAGCATCCGCAACTTGTCAATCTCATAGAGCTGAGAGGAAGGGGAAAAGGAAAAGCTTAAGGACTTTAATAGGGATAAAGCAATACATACATACATATCATATTATTTTCATTCATGAATTTGGACTGCCAACACTCAATATGACTTGAGGCTACATCATAACCCAAATCTCATGACTAATATTCAGGAAAAGTAGGGTCTGCACTGCAAAATGAGGTTCAGACAGTGTAGGGGTTTAGGGTTAAATTATCCAGATGATGCTGATGATGTAAAGAGAACGTCCCTGGCTTGAATCCAGCAACATTTCATGCCCCCACTCTCTCCCCTCATTTCCTGTAAAGTCTCTACTGTTCACTGTCTAATCAAGGGGGAGACATTAGTCGTCTGTGTGTAGATATCGACTGTCCTGAATCACTAGATTAACACAGTGTGGATTCTGTTTTAGATTCTGCTTATGTTCACACTCCCAGAGACATTTGATTCTCACTGGAGTCTCCCAGGATAAGAATGTGTACACAAAGTACCCAATGTACGTACCCCCTCAGTGTGTCCGATGCTGCTGTAGTAGCGGTAGTAAGCCTGGAAGTCTGGGTTTCCTCTGTACCACCTGGGGTCCGCGTTACGCTTCGGTCTGGAGTGACTCAGAAAGCCGTTTGCTTTTTCCGATTCAATACCAACAACACTGACAGGTACCATCTCTGTTAACAGAGGAGATGAAGCTCAGTCCGATAGAGAACTTCTCAACGGTTATTTAAATGTATTCTGATTTATTTAGGCTCTGCACCTACCTTCCTGCTTGATGGTGTTTGAAAAAGATTTGGCCTCCAGCAGGCCTGGAGGAGACAAAGCATGAGATGGACATTGATCATCTTGCTTCTGACATATTTTTGTTGAAGTAGTTGTACAATAAAGAACCAGAACTTACCTGAGAGCACCATCAGACAGCAGAGTGCCCCCAACAACCATAATGAAGAAATCATGGCGAACTCCTGTTTCATGGCAATAATAGATTTGCATCATTTACGGGGAAATAGTACAGTTCTAACAAAACCATTGCTATTGGATTACATAAGAAATATTGACTATAATCCTTCAAAAACAAATTTCACAATATATAAACACCTCTACTCACAAAGATGCATTTAAAATGGTATGTAACTTCTTGACCTATTTCAGTTTATTTAAGAGTGCAGGCCTTTTCCCTAGAATTTGAATGTATAATTAGGAAAAAGTTATTCAGACTGTTTCACAGTATTACAAGACAAACTATACTTCTAAAGGTGAACTTATTGTCCTACTTTGATGCTAAATACATATTGATCAGTAGAAAGTATAAAACAAAGCAGCTACAGGAGAAGGTACACCATTTAGCTAAATTAAATGCAGTTTTTAGTTAAATTAGTCAGCACTTTCAGAAGCTAGAAATTATCATCCTGCAATATTTTACTCACCCGTCTCAGGAATCGGTCTTCACTGCACTAACTGAGCAGAGTGGGTTAAATACAGATTTCTGTGTCCGACCCCCTGAAACATTATCTCCTGTCCAATAGTTCTGCACCAACTTTGACACCAGAATCCTGTCTCCACCTCTCTTTCTTTAATATGTGGCCTTTGGCGCCAATTAAGAAAAAAAAAAAAAAGCTGCACTTTTAGCTGCAAAGCCATAAAAACGGACTTCAAATAGAAACTCCCCATTAAGTCTGGAAGGAAAGCATCACCTGCTGGGACAACTGCAACTGTGGGGGAAAATGCTGCCTACTAACACAATAACTCAGCCAAAAAGACAGTAAAAATCATAGACGACGGTCTGCACTGCCTTACATGTACTTTTATGAGTTGTTAGAGATTTGTAAATCGCTGTCAGCACCAGAAGGCTGTTATTTTTACCCAGAGAACACCTGCTTTCTTTTAACAGTTCTTTGACTGACTGCTGATTAACTCACTGAGCAACAAAGAGGCTTGTTTTGTCTTTACATGTTCACTATCATTTTTGAAGCACTTGGAATTAGGTTGAAGCTGAAGCCTTATATGCATCAACTTAATGCAGGCCACACATTATATGTGTACACACACACACACACACACACACACACAGTGGATGACCCTCATGGATTTGTCATTTTTAAGCAGTACCTGATTCCAGCCTCTTAATAGTTCAGATCAAGCTTTTTTGTCTTATGTGACAAACTGAACGTCTTTGGGTTTTAGACCGACTGACAAAACGCCATTTGAAGCCAAAATCTTGTGTACTTAAAGTATTTTTAGAAACTCATTTCTAACAGTTTTTAGCCTAAATGATTAATTGGGGAAATGTAATCTCCAAATGAATAGATAATGAGTTTGCATAGTTAGCGCAGCTCTAAACTACAACTATTAATATTAATAACTTTCTTCATTTAATGTGCACACCGGGGTCCACATGAAAGCTAACGATTGAACCATCAATTTATTATAACAATGCTCAACCTTTTATCTTGCATCACAGTGTAAAATGTACAGAAATGCTCTTTGTCATAGAACCTAGAAGCTTTAAGTACTAAATTACAGATATTACACCATTCCAAATTCTGACATACATATTTACAAAAGATTTACTGGTAAACAGGAATCTTAACATTAAAAAAAACAAACAAAAAAACAAAAACAAAGCTATGGATGTTTAACAGCAGGGATTCTTGCAAAATAGTCGAACTTAGAAAATGTCCAGGTTCTGCTCGACTTGTGTTGCAAAATGCAACGCCCCAAGTCAAGTCTGCAGAAAGCCTACAATAAAGAGTTTTCCCCTCAGGTGACTGAAACGCAGCGTGCACGTTGCAGGTTTCTTCAGACAAAGGTGATGCGGCTGCGGGCCTGGTTGACCTGCCAAACGTTCAGCTCCTCGTACTCCTCCAACGCTTCCTGGAACTGGGCGGGGGTGAAGCCACGAGTGACGCAACGCTGTTCCGCTTCAGCCATGCGAACCACTCCGCCGGCTCCGCCCTCCGTGGAGAGCTCACGCACCAGAGAGAAGATGACGTCGGCTGGACGCCGAGTCCTGTGTGGAATGAATTGAGACGATTTGTGATTTGAGAGACTTGTTTGCCTTTTGCTGTTGAGTTTCAATAGTTTGACACTTTGTAAAATACAATGATAGATACCACTCATGCATTTCTGTCTGGCACATAACCACAAGTTGTCATTTTGAGGCTTTTTTTTTTGTTCAGATTACACAAAACAAATATGAATTAGTTACTTTTGAGTGGTTGGGAAGTGATTATGATCTGTGATCAGTTAGCTTACTGAAATTGGGAAATCTGCTCGCCTCCAGCTTCATTCTCAACATGAGTGCAATATAAATCTTTCAGCGTAAAAACAAATAAGCATTATTTGTGTAATGACTTTTCATTTCATTTGCTTCAGATGTTAAAAGTACTCGTATTTGTCAAACCGATGCCCTTTTAAAAAGAAACCTGGCTGTGCTCCCTCATTTTTGTTAAAAAAAAAAGAAAAAAAAAAAAAGTATATGGTAAAAGAGTATGGTATGGTAAGGCGTACAACAACGTCACTAGTCTTGACGCCTCCCTCACAGAACCGGCTCCTGTGTGAAGAACTCCATTAATACAGACGTTTTACAGCTTCCTCCAGGATATGCAGCGACTGTTGCGGGCACAAAAGGAACCCATAAAGGACATTCTGGGTTGGACGACGTCCGGTCCCTCATGTTACACGGAGCTAAACGAACAAGATCCTTCAGACAGTGTTAACACCAACCTTGTGGTGCTGGACTTGTCGGCTTGCAGCGAGTCCTTTGACATCTCCATCAGTCTCATCGCCTCGTTGATGTCTTCCTTCTCCACAGACTCCATCATGCGAAGGCGAGCCTGCAGAGAGCCAACAAAACAAATGGGAATTGAGACGGAATTCAGATCAAGAAAATGTGTATCATAGTAGAAATTTAGTTCGACGGCAGATCTGTCGGATTACGAAGGCTGCGCTGTGCCGGCACTGTCAGACCGAGACAAGTGCAATGCCCTCTGGGATGGCCGGCAATTGCCCAAGTCTCCGCCTCTCAACACCAGCTAGTCTCTCTACAGGTAGAAATTAAAAAACACCAAACTAAAGGCTTAAAATGAACCGCAAAAAACTCGATCTTCCTAGTGATGACAGTTCTGGCCATGGTCAGTTTTGCATGGGTTTGCACAGCTGCTCTTATCGCACACAGGCTGACTGCCCACCCTGCAAAGCTGGTCAGGATCAGACGGACCTCGGCTCACTCATACGGTTATCCAGATGCAACATCTGTACAAATGCAGAGATCAGTCGATGTGCAAATAAATACATTCTTGATTCTCTTCAGAGCTACCGCTCAGTTACAGTTTGCCCTCTTGTGGACGTCTGTGTGCAGCACATTGCCAACCCGTCTGCCTGAAGTGCTGGTTTTGCAGTAGGTGGATGACTGCTACCTGCACAAACAGCACTTTTGACAGCCAGAGGCCGACACCAGATCACAAAAACACTCAATTTAGGAAACATTTCTATAGATGCCTTTTCAGAAATCCAAGAACAAAACAGGATAATTTGCCATTATGCAACACGGAAATGCAAAACGAAATTCAGTCGTAGCCTATTTGTAACACATGACAATCAAAACAAAAACAGCATTACATTCCTGTAGTGCTTTTCTAAAATTTGCATCATAAGGAATGTAAACAGCAGCAACAAAAACAATAAACATGTACATGACTCAGCAACAGCAAATCAGATGATTTGCTATTGCTGAGTCATGATGAAGAATGATGACTATAGACGGGAGATCTTTTGTCCAGCGTGGGAAAGAAGTGCTCACACTGCAGTAGGCCAGGTTATCATCACTACCTGCACTGTAAGCACTTTATCGCACAATGGACTCTTAATCAAGACATGCAAGTATGATGATCACGCTTTATATTACTCCATTAACAATGTCGACAACATTTTATTTGTATGACAAATAATACATCTCCTGCAGTTTAAGTTATTAAAGTTTCCGTCCACCCACGGTTCACTACGGTGTATTTCTCACCAGGGCAGTGGACAGACGGAGGATGGACAGGAGGGTACGTGCAGAGGTGAAGGTGGTGTCTTTGCTGACTCGGGCCTCTTTCCTCATCTCTACGTAAGCAGCAGTGATGTAATCAGCCAGCGCCTCGGGCACCACAGGCTGCCGCTTCTTACACACAGCGATGTAACGTCTGAAGGGATTTACATTTCACAAAATTGCACTTAGTTGGTAGTTTTGACATACTGTTAAAAGAAAAAGAAATCGCAGAGTGAGGCTGAAACACTTTGAAATATAAGGCAGATCATCGTCACCTCATCAGCTTCATGTCGATGGGGGTGAAGTGGGTGGGGGGCTGGCGTAGGTGCTGGTGGACGTAGGTGATGTGCTGCGCTAGACGCAGGTCGGCATCAGCGTCCGGCTTGTCCTGGATCAGCCAAAGCAGGTCGAAACGGGAGAGCAAAGCAGCCGGCAGCTGAATGTTCTGCTCGATGCTCTTCCGGGGATTGTAGCGGCCATAGGCGGGGTTGGCTGCTGCTAGAATAGAGCAACGGGCATTGAGGGAGGTCATGATGCCCGCCTGAAAAAGAGCAAAAAATATTAGTTTGAGATGTGACCTTCGATATTAATGTTTCTCCAAATGAATCCACCGGTGCCGTTGTCTTTACCTTAGCGATGGAGATGGTCTGCTGTTCCATCACCTCGTGGATGGCTGTGCGGTCGGCGTCGGCCATCTTGTCAAACTCATCAATGCAACAGACGCCCTGGTCAGCGAGCACCAAGGCTCCGCCTTCCAGAGTCATTTCTCCAGTGACGGGGTCACGCATCACCGCTGCAGTCAGACCGACACCAGAAGAGCCGCGGCCTGTTGTGTACTGGCCTGAAGACCAGAGAGGGGACAAGAGAAATGCATTTTATTTTTAAATTGCAAACCAAGACAGTCAGATACTGGCATCAGGTTGTCAGAGTAGAATGATTAAAACCCTAGAACGTAGGCAAAAGTAAAGTGTCCAAAACCTGGCATAAAGAAAACAGCCGTTACTCTTCTCCAGTCAGAGAAGAAAAAAAGAAAAAAAAAAAGAAAATCACATAAAAAGTTAATATTTTACCATCTAAGCCTTAATGGAAAGAAAATGCCTTACTGGATAAAATATTAACCAGATACAGGACATTTACTCCACGGACAGGACTGTACTCACTTCGAGGAGCCAGGCGGTCAATGTAGGACAGCAGCTGGGACTTGGCGACTCCTGGGTCTCCCATCAGGCAGATGTTTATGGTACCTTGAGGGAGAAGAGTGTTGCGGTTAGTGCAAAATTACATAAAACGGCAAACGCTTTGTTTTTGAGAAAACATTACACGTAGCTCAGTGATCTGAACAAATGTAGTAATGTGACAGAATGACCTCCTTTTGTGTGGACGGGTTATGATTTGCAACTGGGACAATTTATATTTATCTTTCTAGTTGGCCTGTTTAACAAGAGGTTAAAAGGGTGCTCGAGTCAGTGCTCACCTCTGATTTTCATGCCTTTAGGTGCCTGTTGCACCCCTCCAACCAGCAGCAGGAGCAGAGCCTTCTTTACATCTTCATGTCCGTAGATCTCTGGTGCTATTGAGCCAGCTAGCTTCTCATAAAATCCTTCCTCTGCAACAGAAAAATACAATCACTTCAGAGCGTGAAAATGATCAGCATCATCCGGTTTTGGCATTCATATCGGTTACAGCAGTGATTTTATTGAAGTCCAGCTATCCAACACACAAGCACCAACCTGTAATGCCACGCAGCTCCTCCTCAGTCAGATCGTCATTGCCAAGCTCATCATCATCCGACTTGTTCATGAGTGTGATGTTATGAGCCTCCAGGTAAGTTTCTGACAGAAGACCCTGAAATGACCAAAATCAGGATTAACTTTAGATGCTTGCATACCAACACTTTAAATAAACTCTCGCCACAGATTAGAAGTCTGTCAGAAACGCTTGAACGTGAAATGGGGTAAAAACAGACAAATCCTGAATTTAAGTTTGAACCCACATACACACCTGAGTGGCCTGTTTGAAGCCTGTGCGTAGAAGAGGGAGGAAGACCCCGGTGACGGCCACGTGGTCTCCTGGCTGGGCCAGACGCGTGTTTTCTCCACGGGCATAAATCGACATGCTCCGTGGAATATTTCCAATGGGCACCTGGTCACTCTGTTGGACAGAAGAAACTCATGAAACAATTGAAACTTCCTAAAACCCCAAATCAAAAATACAATTGATGGCAACAGTGAGCAGTGTATTGTATAAAGCTACTTACATGCTCCTGGATACGCAGCTCCTGGAACTTGACAAATTTGGAGCCTCTGGTCTGCAGGTAGAGCCGACCTCCAGATTTGTTGGTGACACACTCTTGGCTGGGACACATGACGAGGGGCATGAAGGTGGGAGACTGGATCTGAAGCACAAAAATACTTAGTGAGGGACACCTGATAAATGTATAGTGTTAAAATATAAAGATCACAGAACTCAAACCCATCTTACTGGTTGATAGGTCTCAGCACCACACTGGTCACACGTGTACGTAGCGACGGCCATCATGGGCTTGACCTCGGTGGCGCGGGTCACTATGCCTCGAACATTCACCAGATTCCCGATGCTGTCCGCTCGTACGTCTCGCACCACTTTGGGTTTAGCAGTGGTGGGAGGTTTAAAGTACAGCTCACTGTGGAAGAAAGTAAAGTACAATAAGTACACCTACTGCTTCAATAGTTAAATGTTAATACAAATCCAACCCTGAACTCAACTTACAATCTCCTCATTAGTTCAGGTGGGTACTGGTTACGAGTGTCCCGGGTGTCTGCTGGGTCTCGACCCCTTTGTTCCATCATCAGCCGGTGCTCAATGTACACATCCAAAGAATCCTTGGCCACAATCTGGATACAACAAAAGCATTTATGTTTTAATAAGTAGGTATTTCACGAAGACATTGGTACTATGAACCATTCAAAAACAGCTGAAAAGATTGTCAGATACTGTGACTTCATTGTTACGTCAGCTGGTTGAATCAAAATGCTTTGACTTTATTTATAAACCATTCAGGATCAATGTGTAAGCACACGTACATCTCTTTCTTTGTACTCTGGCAGCAGCTCGTGGATGGCGTCAGAGAACAGGCCGGTGTAGCGCTTGGCATTCTCACAGACGCTCTCAACCAGCTCTGGGTCTTCCTCCGCCACGTCGTCCAGTTCCACAAAGATGGGCACCTGCTCTCTGTGGGCCAGCGACACCTGTAAGCACAGAATACTTAGTAAGTAGGCGAGCCACTTGATTACACAACCATGTCTGCACTATATAACTTAGTAGATGCTAGATTTAACTAATCTTGTGTGAATCAGCAATATTCAAGTTGTTGATTTTCATATTAGTTTAATGCACGTTGTGCCTTTATTAAATAGCTATATTGAAAAGATAACACGACACAATTGAGTGAAGTGCAACAAAAGGGTCCCCGGCCAGACCTTTGTTGAGCTGGGGACAATGTGGTTCATGGTGACCCTGGTATGGTTGCCTTAAGGTAGCTGCATAAGCTAAAAATAACAAATTATAAAAAAGTGTAAGTAAACACTTTGTGTGTCAACTGTAGTTTAAAAGACACTTAGCAAAAACAGAGATGACCGTTCAAGAGCACAGTGTGGCTGAAATTATTATAAAAAGGAGGACAAAAAGATAACTGGTTGATAATTTCTAATTGACCGGTCTGACATAAATCACTCATCACTCATAATACATTTAGGTTAAAGTCAATATCATCCTTCAGTCAAGAACATTGCTATTTAAGGCCACAACAGCCCCCTTTAAAAGCTACACATTCACTGTTTACTATACTTACAAGCTGAGCTCCATATTTGAAAACCTTCTTGCCATTGTCATCCTCTGAGTAAAACTCTTGCAGGAACCTTTTGCATTTGTCTGCAAAACAAAACAAAAACAACACCTTCAGCATTATTTCACAGCAGAAATGGGCAGGCCACATCCAGCAGACACTAGGTGGTGTTTACTGTATATTCACAAGAATAAATAATAGCTTACTGACGTTATCTTTTGGTCTGTTTAGACATTGAAGGGGTTTAAAAGCTGGATCAACAACAACACCAATGGGCCTAGAAACTGGGAGCTAGTTTGTTGTCCTGCGACGACCCCCTTTGTTGAGTAACATGGCATCCTGTAATCTCGATGAGTCACTACTGCCAACAGTAGAGCTCACACTGCCACCGGCAGACTACGTGAATCAAATTCCACTGGAGTGAACCGACTATCATAGTTGTATAGAGTTAAATAACCGATGTTACGCAGCTGATATCTGAGGGTAAGAATGTAAATACAACAGACGCTCTCAGGTCAGTGTCCATTTTTTTTTCTTTGAGAAAATATCCCCTCACTTCTCCAAAGAGCAACAACTACTAACACTATTTAATTCCCCGTAACAAGAAACGAAACTAGCCGCCGCTCGACGGATAAAATACTCCACTTACTTTGACGCTGTGGCAGAAAATCTGTATCTCCGGTTTAATATTTCTGTGTTTCGAGGATGTTATTGTAAACAAAGCAGCACATGGCTTTTGTGCCTCGTCACTCGAGTATCCCTCCGCGGCGACCCCCCGCCCCACATCCGCTCTTCAAAATAGTCCCGGCTGTTTTCAAACCATGGCCAGCCATCTTCCAACGTTAGCTCAGGTTAGCTGGAGTTGTGTTGAACATACATGGACCGCTCCCTTAAATATTAGCCATTGTCATGACATATCCATTGTTAAGTTTTGGATTTTAAGTTGAAGGATAAAACATTAATCGAAATACAATATTACAGCGACACATTTCCAACGGGCATTTGGAACGAGTTTCAAATATTAGCCGCTATTTCCGTTGCTTTTAAGAGTTTTGCATATTAGCCGTTGGGGCGCAGATAACAGTTATTGTGAGCGTTAAAACGAAACTGTTTGTTTGTGTAACATAGACATAAAGGATGTAGTCCAAGAGTCAAAACCCCCACGAACCAGCCTTTCGAAGTGCCCTTAAGCAAGACAGCGGCCGGCTTACCAGCTAGCATTTCATCTGAAGTGCACGTTAACTTGTGTTACTGACAGAACGTTAAAGAGAGCTAGCTCATTGGCTAGCATGCTAATGTGCCGTTGGTTGTGGAGGCAATAGGAGACGTTAGTGAAAGACAATCCTGATTTCAGGACCGGTAAAAGGCCTGAAACAACACGGGTATTGTGGGTCTTCATAAGTCAAAAGAGAGCTGGTTGCATCTCTTTAAGTTATTTAGTGGAGAATCATCGAGGGGGAAACGCGGGTTTACAGAAGAACAACAACGCTCGTTAGTCCACGGTTTACCCATCATGCCGGTCTAGCTAATCGTAATGTAGTTACTTATAAAACGCCAATGTCGATGACCAACATTACGACTATTCTCCAATTGCTTTGTCGTTATTGTGAAGTTGCGTTTGTTTATCTGAAATTGTAAAGTTTGCACAATTAACAAAAAAAAAAAGAGCATGTGATGTCAACTGTAAAATAAAATTAAAAAAAATTGTGTTCCTAACAAATTCCACCCGCCTTCATTAACTTAACTGTTTAAGTTATTGTCGAACATGTGCTTGCACGGTCGCGCGCCTGCTCCTTTGTTTAAACGTCTCCATCCGGGTCACTACGTAACGTTATAGTTACACAAGCTCACAGAGAACGTAGAACTAGTTAACGTTACCAACAAGTTAGCAAACGTTCAGAAAGGTTAGTGCTACATCGATCTGTCACGCATTGAACGATACATGCACACTAACATGCATAACTTACAGGCTGTGGGTCTAAATAAACGTAAGTTAGTTCAGAATACTTTGTAACGTCACTGCAGAGAATTACGGTTGTTTAGATGAGCTGACTTTATACCCACTACACCAAGTGATATAAATCAGTAACGTGTTTCCATAAAGCATGTTAGAGAACGCACTTAAGTTGAAATGCAGTAATTTAGGCCAACCTGTTGCTGCCATGCCGTTATGTGTAAAGTTAGGTTAACCCATTATTACCTTTCTCTGCCGCATAATCCTTACGAGCCATGGCTGCAGACCCTCAGGTGAGATAACTTGACCACTAGAATGCTAAAAAAGCCTCCAACGGACCCAAAATACAGTTTAAATTCACGATTTAAACGCTTCACTGTGACCGGAGGACCAGTTGTTCATTCACGAGCAGCTCGCGGTTCTTCCCTCAAGAAGTGGCGCGAGTCTGACGTCTGCAGCGTCCAATCGTATCGCTTCTTTCCACAGCGAGGGGCGGGCTCTAGTGGTGGCGCGAAAGTTGCGGGCGATTGTGTGTCACGTGACTCAACAAACTTCCGCCCTGTTAGTCAGGTTTGGCGCGAAAGGCGATGATTGGATTTCATACAACAGTGACCCCAGAGTGAACTCAAACACTGTAGACTCAAAGATAGGATGCAGTATATTAATACTAAGGCATCGCCAAAATAAATCTTTATTTTTTAGATTAGACGCATACATTAACATGCTACTTATTGTGACATTTGAAAATGTGTTTTCATAATAGTAGACATAATGGTCAAAGACCCTAAACTCAACCTCCACGTATTATATGGCTTTGCTTTTTGTGTTTCTTATCTTGCAAGATGGGAACACAAACTGCATTTCATTGCTCATCCTTGTTTTGCACAATGACAATAAATTAAATCTTTAACCCAACTGGGCTAATAAATTCCAACAGAAAAAAGAAAAACAAGCATATATTATCAATCTTAAAATGATCTTAGATCAGTTTAATTTCTGTAAACTGAACACAATTATTTCTCTACAGTGAATGACTGAATGTGAGCAATATATTGTGAATGAGTGTATTGCTTTTAATATCATTAGTTATCTTCAAGTTTTATTATGCATTTACTTTTTTTCCTTAGCATTTACTAACCCCAGGCATATCGTTTTGCCCACTTGTAAACACTTTTTCCTTGTGATCCTATTAAAGATACTTTCAGTCTTATTTTGCTGAATTAACCATATTTTAAGTAACATTAAATTGGGTCACACAAAAAAGATGCTGTGAACAACAGAAACAGATATTATGACACAAACTTCAAAACGTGGGAAACAGGAGGGGAGGCTTTCAGCTGGCTGCCAGCCTTCAGGGATCTAACTGAACTTCAGCACAACATTTCTTTTGTTCAAAGCATAAACATTCGTAATAGTGAATGGCAATAACTTTTGTCCCCAAACCTCATAATCAATTACGTCTTTCTCTTTTCCTCCAACAAAAGACTGAATTAGATGTGATAAGAGAACTCCGTAAGGGGTCATGAAAAAGAACAGATGGCCCGAACAATCAAATGTACTGAAACCACTGAACACACTAGTGTTGAAGCGATGCATTAATGAAAAAGAACTGTGGTTCCCCGGGCGGTCCAGGCCTCTGTGCCCTCAGTCAAAGAGCTCATCAAGGACGCTGGCGGACGTGTGTCGCGTGGAAGGCTGCAGAGCAAAAACAAGGGAGGAAAAAGTTGCCAGGAGATTAGTCCTTAATCTTTAGTCAAGCAAAGAACACCCATTCAAAACTGACCCACTGTCCCAACTTACGTGTGTAATTTGTTGTAAAGATTTTTTTTTTTTACCAGTGTATATGCGGATTCATGGTCAGAGTCACTCTCGTAATCCTCAATCTCAGGCTCCTCTTCTTCTTCTGCACTGTCGTCCTCAATCAGAGATAGTCTGGAGAGAAAACACAGTTTATTCTCATGTAATTATTCTTACCCGATGAATCACAAAATTAAGACAACTATTCCAAATATTAAAACAATTCTGCAGTGAAACAGTTTGTGTTCTGCTTTAAAAATCAGTCTTACAAGGTGAGGGGAGAGTTCAGGTCCTGCTGATCCAAAGGGGGGCCGGTCTGGCTGGAGGAGAGCTGGGCTCGTCTGACGGGCTTCACTTTTCTCATGTTGGACCTGGTGAACAGCAGCAATTACATTCTAGCGGGTAGCCATACTAGACGTGTAAAATACCAATATTTGTTGCGGGAATGAGGATTTGCTTGGTTTTCTATCCGTTCATTATCCTGTCAGACAGATAAAACTTACCCTAAGGCGAACTCATCCCCAGACTCCGGATCGGTTAAGCCGCTGCTGATATCAGACTCAGTGGCTCTGGAGGCCAGCTGCTTGGCTGGATGTCTCTGTACAGTGGAGGTGAGTGCTGGAGTGGGAAGGCTGCTGTGGATACTTATGCTGTCCAACCAGGATCCTCGGACTGTGCTGGCCACTGAACCTAGAGAAGTTGGAAGAGCAGAGGAGGTTATTCATTACCTGTGACACTTCGTTAAATTTAAGTGTTTCACAACAGAGAAGGTAAATACGGATTCACAAAAATAGCATTCATTTCCGAAAGAGCAAATGAGATGATCAACCAAAAGAAAACTGAATGGTTTTAATAAATTATATAAAATCTCTTTAAGTGTGTCTGCAACAACCGCTGCTGTAATGTTTGATTAAATGAATACAACCCAAAATTGTCGAACCCCCGTCTAGACCACAGGTTTATCAGACATGTTTTTCACTCACACAACAGATACACTCCGGTGTCACTGCAGGAGTGCGTCTCAGCTCTGTCTCATCGCTGAAGCATATATTTAGGCTTCAAGTTCATTTTGTTTTGACAAAACGTATGTAAACGTGAGGTAGATGCCCCAAAAAAATGGCACAAAATAACTATCTGACTGCAGAGCCATGGCGGCGATGCAGTCAGCTGTGTGTCAATATATTAAAGTAATAATAATCAACTTATTATCAAAATTGTCATTAGCTGCAGCTCTATTTGAGTTGCCATTGAGGGTCAGAGAAACCTTCCTTTCACCACATTACTTTGAACTCAAACAACTGTTGAAGGTAAATCACCTTTTACAGTTATTACAGTTAACATGAAGAGCTGTGAATCCATACACACCGTTTGTTGTGTCTGTGTGTAACATGTGTGTCCATCTCACCCTGAGGAGTTGTCCTCTTGCGTTTAGCTACAGGGGTATCGTGAGAGGAGACGGCATCACTTCTCTCCTCCCGTCGTCTGGCTTTAGCAGAGGATCGGCCATCCAAGGAACGCTGATACAGTCTGACTGACGGCCAGGAGAGGGCAGCACCGGGACACTCCGACTTCAGAAACGCTGCCCTGAGAGGGGACGAGATAGAGAGGCAGAGAGATGAGGACAAAGACAGAGAAACCTTTGTTAATGTTTAGCTGTCAAATGTAAAACACAAGCACTGGGTTCAAGTAAAAGGGCCACTGTTTGATATGACTCTGATTTTGTTATGGCATATAATGCTTATATTTACAAGTTAGTGCTCATATCATATTTGACCAAACATGTTTGTAAGGATGAGTTGAGATAGTTTCTTACAACACAGCGCGGTCCTGTCGCAGCAGCTTGAAACTGAACTCGCTGAGGATCTCCAAGAAGGCCACATTGGATTGCTGCTCTTCTCCCTCTGGTGGGTCTCGAAATGCAAAACGTACACCTTCCCTAAGAGCAGACACAACAGACTAAAGAGCTCAGAATGAACAGCTACAGTGTGAAAAACACTTAATGTATACCCTACAAGTTTGACAATTCATCAAAAAAGAAATTATCATGTAAGAGGAAAAATATTTCCGGTTAAACTGCCCTCACGGCTGTAAGAAAGTAAGTAAGTCAAATGCAAAGGGCTGACAGGCCTGGTCCGCATGTGTTTGGCAGGGACACAAGAGTTACTTACGTATGCAGGGCCACCAGTGGTTTGCGGGCACGATTAAGATCGATGCCAAAGCTCATGGCAAGCCTCTTGGCCAAGTCTCTGATCTCACCGAGATCCTGCCTGCTGTGGTCCTCCGTAAGCATCTCTGAGAACAGCTAGCGATACACAAACATGACTTTAAATAGACGTGTTACGCAAAAGGCATACCATACAAACAGATGTGGACGAACTGTTCCACTTGATCACTCGTTAAAAAAATACTTCTAAGCAGTTCAGTCGCTGGTTTTAATTTGATTGGTGAAGAGAAGTTTGCCACATGAAACACTGAATTGACTTAAAAATGAAAAAGATTTCTATGTTTGATAGAAGTTTCTGTGATTGGCCATCTGTTAGGCATAACCCAAATGTTAGTCAAAATCCACAATTTGAAGATGCAAATGTGCCTCACAAAAGAAACATTTTCAACATGTAGAAATAAAGCAATAAAATGATAAAATTGCCTCATTATGTATGTACGTAACAATACACAATAATTGAAGCAGATACAATTATGAAAACAAATTAAAAACACCACTAACATCAAATATTTTACTATCAAAAGATGTGATTACTATCCATTTCATGCATTCATTAAAAGTTCACACTGCATGATATTCATTCTCATGAATACTTAAAGGCTGCTTGTTCTCCTGTTGGTGCACACCTGCTGCAGACTCAGACAGACAGTCTTGGCGCTCTGTATGGGATTGATGACCTTGCTCTTGCTCATAGTCTCCTTAATGATGTCGCCAAAGTCTTTGAAGTACTGGAGAGAAAGTAGTCATCGTTAGTCTATTTAATTAACAGCATTGTCTAAAAAGGTAGGAATAATCCACTGCCTTCTCGTCATCTGTGCTTCTTTTAACCGCTCTGACTCATTCTCAGCACCTCGTTGAGATCTTCTCACCATCCTCCACTTTCTTACACATCCTCTCCATTATTAATGTTTTATTAACTCCTTTCCTGCATTCCTAATCCAATTGATTCACTTTTAATTCCACAATTTCTAAACTCACCAATTTAACTAATAAGACATTTTGCTTACATGTTCAACCAACAGTAACATATATAATATGCAAGGCTAATCAAATGGACCACCTTGCTGTAGTGCTTGAAGACGTTGGTGGCCGCGGTGAGGTCCAGCACCCCGTAGATGACCAGCTTACAGTAGCCGGCCAGCTGGTTGCGCTTCCTCTGGAGAAGAGTTATCTTCAGCGCCTCCTCATCCTCAACTAGAGAAAAAAAAGCCAGAGGAAAGAGAAGGGAAGGGAGAGCATGAGTAACAGTTACAAACCGGTTATTAACTTGAAAGATGTAGACGGAAGAGGCAGGGAGAAAACCTTGAAGTCTTGATAAGACACAAGCAAACCAGAGCGCGCGATGAAAGACTGGTATTTGGCTTGTGGTGCATTAAATAAAGGGAAGGACCTCTGGGAGAACTTTGGCAGTGTGTGT